ACGGCCAGGAGCCCCTAGTAGCGTCCTTGCTCCTAGTAGCGATGCCACGACCCCTAGTAGCGTCCTTGCCCTAGTAGTACGGCCAGGAGCCCCTAGTAGCGTCCTTGCTCCTAGTAGCGAGGCCAGGAGCCCCTAGTAGCGTCCTTGCTCCTAGTAGTACGGCCAGGAGCCCCTAGTAGCATCCTTGCTCCTAGTAGCGATGCCAGGAGCCCCTAGTAGCGTCCTTGCTCCTAGTAGTACGGCCAGGAGCTCCTAGTTGCGTCCTTGCTCCTAGTAGCTTTCATTTGCGAATGACATGTCTACTTTTCAAAAATCACATCATTCGCATCTTCACGTCGTTCTGCGCTCCTGGAAGTGAATAGTCCCAGGCACACGAGCCTGAGATCTAGGCCGCATGGAGCAAGCTTGCTCCTTGTTACTAGTAGCTTCACTTGTTACTAGTACCTTGCTCTAAAGAGATCTAAAGAGATACAGTACAACTTGTGGTTTCCCCTTTTGGGCGAACTACGTGAGGGTCCACCACTGCCACCACTACTTCGATTCTATTTGATCGTTTTCTGAACCGCTCGGCGCTCTTCAGTTCAGCCGAGCATCAACATCCACTGAACCAGACATACGGCATCCTTCGGTGAAAATACTGTGGTACCTAAGTCAAGAGCCCTCAGACTGTGGAAGCAAATCAATTCAAAAATGACGTGAGGTCAGACAGAAGCTCATCTTGGAATTAAACACGAAGAAAGGGTAGCTCCGCCGAGGTACACGGCGCCAGTGTGAAGATGCTGTGCCGAGATCACACCCTTCACCCAACCTAAGTACAAAAAACATGACAGTGAGCAAGAGTGAGACGACTGGAACACGCCACTCAGACCAGAAAATACTATCTTTGTCCTGCGTGGTCTCTTCATCTTCTGCAAGGTTGTCTGTCAGCAACTTTACATCTTTGCAGCCTATTTGCTCTCGTTTCTTCACTTCACTTCTGCTTTGCGGTCTTAGATGCTAGTCAACGCTTCTGCAGTGTACTCACCTCTGTACCTGCGCAAAGAAGCTATATACGTAATAAATGTGTTAAACACATGCCACAATACTTTACAATAAGCTTATTCATCCTGTTCTGGAGAAAAGGCAGTCTTGTCGCGAAAAAGCTGTGGCTCAAGCTCTGTGTGTTGTCCAGGCTGGGCACCTCTGCGGTACCTCTGGGTTAAACAAACTCTGCAGTACTCGATGCCAGCACACGCGTATCGAAAGGTCACAATCGGACGGTGGGGAAAAAGCGAATGGTCTGCTCCTTGCAGGTATCCTGCGAGCTACCCTTCACAGGTTCAGAGTGATGCCTCGTGCCCAGCCCCTGCCAACAGAAAACATATCCGCAAATGCCGTCAGTCAAATTCTTGTTCTATATATTTCATTTATCTCCTAGCTTCATCAGGTTTTGTCATGGCGAACACCCAAATGCTCCTCAAAGTCCACACAGTTGAGCTTCAAAAGGTCTGCCAGGCAAACGCGGCACAAAGACATGTCGAATGCACTTCGGATACAAATCAATAATCCAGTTTGACTTCAATGAAACGACTTTGCACAGGATGTATCTGATTGTTTAGTTTATGTTCTTTCATTAAAATCTTGCCAAAGAGCGGAGATTTGCTTGCTTGTGATCTGCATCCACTGCTGAGACTTTGCCCCTCACATGCAAAGGCGCTCATCCAGGCAAAAAACTGGCCCGTAGCATCATGTCATTTCCAACCAAACCACTAGCAGCTCAGCAAACAACACACATCAATATAACATAACATCTTCGCCAGCATGTCTTTTCGCTGGTGTATGTTCTACTTGAAGACGAGAAACTCGTTGAACGATTTTTCCAAATCATTCCATGTCGGAGCAAATTCGCGGCAGTGACTACACCTCAGGGAGGAAAGAGAGAGAGAGAGAGAGTGTGTGCAATCGGCAATCAAAAACTTCTACTCTGTCTTGTGTGCATCAATAGATACTTTGAGTCTGTATTCATGTGCTTCTGCCAGTTCTGGATCAAATCACCCTTTCTTGAGGATTTCAGGGCTCCAAGACAATTTGAGTGGCTGACCATCCTATTGTTGGTTTCTACTTCATGTATCTTCATTCCATGTTTGCTTCCCAATCCGCCGGCCCTTGGGCGCGGCGTGTTTTAGGTGATTGGTTTGTATGCTATCCTAGTAGTAGTTTTGTTTTTAGTCTAATTGTACCCACGGCGCGGATTTTTGACAAGTCTAACTCCCCCCCTCCCCCCCCTCCTCACCTCAGCCAAAACGGGCCGGCGGAACAATTATTGTGGCGAATCAGAAGGTTGGTCACGGAAGCTGGCAACCGATCCCGCGCAGTTCAGAGTCCTCTTTTCGTTCTGTAAGACATGAAAAACCACCATCAATGGTATGCCTATGGGACGTGTTTCTTACAGCTGTGGAGCTCACCTTGCTCCCTTACCTTGCCTTTTTCATATATAGATATAGATAATTGTTTCCTTTAGTTGGAGCAAAAGAACGAGGTAGCTGTTTGGCGGAATATGTAGAGTCGAGTCATTCTCTTGTTCGCAAACAAGCGACAGCGAATGGATACACTGTCTAGTGCCTTTGTGTTTTGTGTGTTTTTCTGTCTGGTCAGTATTTCCGTATGATTTAAGAATGCCTCTCAGCCCAGGCACCAGTCAGCATAAAAGTTGACCATGATGAAGTCGTGGGCATCCACAACTGCCTGAAAGCTATCATGCCTCGGAATCATGTCACTTGAAAGCAGCAGTACTAGATATGCTGTACTTGGCTCAATGCGTACATCAATCACACCTGCTTCAATTGACCTTCCTTGAGGTTTCCACTTGAACTTATCGCTGGAGGACCCCCAATCCGAGTCAAGCTCCGCGAGCTCCTGCAGTGAAGCAGCAAAGCTGGGACTTTTAGACTTTCAGGGTCAAGTCTCCAGGAACCAATGACCAATGACCAAGAATGAGCATTTGATTATATATATAAGTATATATCTCCGGATTTACCCAAGGATTTTCAGATTGCTTTTGTCTTTCCGCTGAAAACCGGTCATTCCGGCACTGGCGTGAACCAGCGAAGCGTGAACACATCAGCTCGATTGCATATGGAATGATATGGAATGGTTATGGCAAAGAAAATAAACCCTCTAGCGTTAGCAGCACTAGCAGCACTAGCACTAGAACAAAGAAGCAAAAGTCGGTTCTTTTTGGCCACACCGTGGTACGCGCCTACGCGTCGTACCTTACGCTCGTCATATGTCATGTTTGTTCTGTTTGGAGAACCGTTCGACCATGCAAAGGGTGAACAGGCGACCGACAGGCTACCTAACAAGACCGAACAAAAGAAATGACTCTCCCCAACGAGTTCCCCTACCTACTTCACTTATCCTACTTCACTGACTTCACAACTACTCCGTTCATCTCCCTTCAGTCTTCAAAAACTTTACAAAAAATGGTATCTGTTTTTGTCTTGTGACCGTCTCTCCTCAGCTGTGAAGCTTCGGTCCCCAAACTCGAGCTCCAAGAGTTCTTCCTGTGACTGCGACAGAAAAGATTGTGTTTCCTTGTTTAAACCACTCGAAAAGGTTTTAAGAACAGACAGAAAACACAAATGGAAAGAGAAGCAAGTCAAGAAAAAAAGGACCGACACCTGAAGAGAACGAAGAGACCGAGGAGACCGAAGAACAATGTAGACTCCGAAAAGAGCTTCGCTCTACTTCGCGGCTTCACTGTTCAGTGCTATTCGTTGTTACACTGCATAGTGTATCGTCTCACATTGTTTCTTGTACTCTCATCACTCCATGCTTGTTCGAGCTCATCTCTTCCATAGCAGATTGAAGTGAAGGCTTGGCAGCTAAGGAAGGTGAGCTGAAGGATGCCGAAGGAGAACACGAAACAAAGGTGTTGGAAGCTCACAAAGGCAAACATACTACTAAGGTTCATCTTGCTCCGCATAATATTCATCATCATGCTAATCTAAGCAAAGCGACGCACTCTTTCCAGCTTTGACAAAGCTTAGTGCGGGTGCCTCCTTGTATGGCTGACCCTTTCGTGACCCCTTGTGGTCAACTCCTAGGAAGTGTATGGAAGCATGATTGATTTTGCAATGTCATCAGTGTCATCAACGAAGCCACTGTAGTCAGTACCAAGGAGCGTTGCTTTTGCATGTTCCTCGTGACGTTGAAGCGCTCGGTTCCGAAAGCATCCCAAATTCCTGAGAGTTGGAACACCTTTGCAAACAATTCCGTCATGAGTCGGCGAACCTAGTGTCAAGTGATCGCAGGCCATGTCAAGCATGGTGACATCAAAATTGATCTTCAGCAGCTCATCCTGCCGGGCCAGAGTGCAGTAGAGAGTGACAAAGAAGTCCACGCTGAGCAAGACTATCAGTGGTGACTGTCTTGCCTGGTTGGTGTCAACCACCTTGACAGTTGCGAGCTGAGACCAAGCACGTCCGTCCGTCGTGCCAAGGCAGCCAAGGTGCAATCCGAGAAGTGGAAGTCTCGGTCAAAAATGCAGAGGTCTGACAGGTCCAATGGGGTCTAAAAATAACTAGGAACCGGAACTGGGAGCAAGCACGCTACTAGGAGCAAGGACGCTACTAGGAGCAAAGGGCATCCCTACTATAGGAGCAAGGACGCTACTAGGAGCAAAGGGCATGGCTACTAGGAGCAAGGACGCTACTAGGAGCAAGGACGCTATCAGGGGCTCCTGGCCATACTACTAGGAACAAGGACGCTACTAGGAGCAAAGGGGGGCACCCTTTTTTTTAAGCATTGAAACAGTTTTTCTAACCCGGACCTTTTTTACCCTGGAACCTTCTTTTCTAACCCTAGAAGCCTTTTTTTAACCCTGGAACCTAGACTATTATATTTTAACCCCAGGCTAAAGTAGAGTAGTTTCTTCAAGCTTCTTGGGATGACAGGTCTTCTTCAGAGCCACCAAATGCATTGTTGCTTTGCAATCTTTAAGGCTTACACTACTTACCAAGGGCTGCAGTTAGATCCACTAAAAAGAACCAACGCGCAAATGTCCACTCAGGAACACCCCACCTTGGAGCCTGCGCATCGTTCAAACATGGGCCGTGCACAAAAGTCAAATAAGGACAGGACGGTGTTTCACGAAGCAATCCCTGCAGCGTCTTGCACGACGCCCGGCGCATGTGTGGGAAGTCATCACAAGGCCTTGCAACTGGAAAGCAATCTTTCCGCGATTTTTCAACTTTTCTTGCTGAAGTCTTTGTGGATTTGTGTGACCTGCGCTTTCAAATCGAGTTTGCAACATATCTTGGCAGTCTCAGTCGCAACTGTGAAGAAATGACTGACATTCTCCGCAGATTCTGTGTTCACCAGAGCTTGCAAAAATGGTTCTTGCGTTGAAGTATAGACATCTGTCGTCTTCGACCTACTGCGACTTGCTTTGGCTCGTGAAATTTTGTCACTGGAAACCAAAAAGGATAAAGTCAGAATTGCGCACTCGTTCACCAGAATTTTTTGTTTTCCATCGATGACCAGCTTGACGAGTTTGTTCTCTGCTGCCTTGGCTCGCTTCAACATGCCCGGGCAGGTCCACACGACGCAAACTTGGTGTTCAGACACAACTGAAGCACGCAGAACTGCCAGCTGCGCCACATCATCTAGCTCCAAAATCTGGATTGCGCACCATGAACTCCTCTGCAGCTGCTTCCAATTCTGCGATAGGCAATTTTGCAACGGATTTGGATTCACACTGGATTGCCCCCGCGAACGGGCGATGTAGCTATAAAGTTGGGCGTTGGTGCATCGCAGGGTCAAGCCGGCCTGCTTAAGCGCAAGCTTGACCCTTCGCGTCGTCATCTCCGAATCTTTGTGGGCCTGTCTGATAGCAAAGTCTTCTGCAACATTCCACAAGGAGCCACCGTTTGGCGCAGCAAGCTTTCCGTGTTGTCCTTTTTGGAGAGCTTCAAGCTTTGAGCCGTTCAGTGTGCTCACCGCTCGTGCTTTTCTTTGTTTTGCGCAGCCTTGGCAGAATTGTTTTTTGCAGTGAGTTGTTAACGCGACTCCATCCTTTACACTTTTCTGATGGGAAAAACAAGATGGGACCCACCAACCCGAACGCAAACACGTTCCATATGCCCAAATGACACACTTGACGGACGCTCTTCTGGGACACTCTTGTGGGATACTCTTGTGGGACACTCTTGTAGGAAACTCTTGTGGGTCACTCTTGTAGGACACTCTTGTGGAGCACTCTTACAGGACACTCTTGTGGGACACTCTTGTGGGACACTCTCGTCGGACACTCTTGTGTGACACTCTTGTGAGACACTCTTGTAGGACACTCTTGTAGGACACTCTTGTGGGTCACTTGCCGGACACTCTTGTGGGACACTCTTGCGGGACACTCTTGTAGGACACTCTTGCGGGACAGACTTGTGGGACACTCTTGTGGGACACTCTTGTAGGAAACTCTTGTGGGACACTCTTGTAGGACACTGTTGTGGGACACTCTTATGGGACACTCTTGTGGGACACTCTTGTAGGACACTCTTGTGGGACACACTTGTGGGACACTCTTGTGGAACACTCTTGTAGGAAACTCTTGTGGGATAATCTTGTAGGACACTCTTAAGGGCGCTCTTGTGAGACACTCTTGTGGGACACTCTTGTTGGACACTCTTGTGGGGCACTCTTGTGGGACACTCTTGTTGGACACTCTTGTAGGACACTCTTGTGGGACACTCTTATAGGACACTCTTGTGGGACACTCTTGTGGGACACTCATACGGGACACTCTTGTGGGACACTCTATCTGGGACAGTCTTGTAGGACACACGCTTCGAGGCTGCAAGACGAGCGTTTCGTACGAGACTTCCTCCAAAAGTCACACGTCAAGTCTCCAAAACGAGCGTTTCTTACGAGACTTCCTCCAAAAGTCACACGTCAAGTCTCCAAAACGAGCGTTTCGTACGAGACTTGCTCAAAAACTCACATGTCAAAGTCTGCAAAACAAGCGTTTCGTACGAGACTTCCTCCAAAAGTCAAGCGGAAACACCCATCGGAGCACACACATCACGCAGCCCTGCCAAGCAGTTTCGCGATTCCAGCCCCTCCAAACAAAACCCGCTCACACGCCAATCCCAATGTGACAACATTCACCTCTACCACAACTCACAACCTCACGATTCCCTGCGCCTGCCACGAAAATCGCACTTCCACACCTCAAAACCCGCACAAAGTACTGCGCCTGCCACGAAATTTGACAATATCATCTCATGTGAGCTTCCACAAAAATCTGCACCACACCACACCACACGTTTGGAATGATTTCGACCCGTTCTGAGCACACTCCCATCCACCAAAATCCCCATTTCAGCTGAAACTTGTCACGAAAACAGAGCTTCGATGCCACACCCTGAAACGCAAATCCCAATGGCACGGCCACATCCAACACCCCAAAAACACAACTCTCCAAACACTAATCCAAATGGAACTGCGCAGCAAACTGCGGATCTCACAAAACGCTGCGCCTGCGCAGTGAAATCATCCTCCACACTTCAACATCTTACATTTCCACACGATTCCTCTATTTCACACGAATCTGACACGTCACGTTTCCATCCGAAACCCTCTCCAAAAGCTTCCCCCAATGGCAACGCCTTAGCGCGCTGGCCCAAAACAGTTTCCACAGCGTCGCGTAATGCAACATATGCAACAATTGCGCGCGGCCACAGGTTGGTGGCTACTTCTTCCCAACTGCCATGCTCTAATGCTTTCATCTCCTTGCTCGTCTCAGAATCGTTCAGTGCTTCAGTTTCACTGTGGCATGGACTTGTGAACGCAACAGGTTGTATATCCTCTGGGACTGCTGGGCTTTTCTGTTGTGATTGGGGATGAACTTCAGTGTCCCGATGTTCCACCTGTGCAAGCTCGGATTGCGCAGGCTGTTGTTCATTGCTTGGCGCTGCAAAAAAGGAGGAAGGCACAACCCAAATGCAATAACGTGGACGCCGGCTCCTGTCATCTGTTTGCGGCAAGAGTCTAGCAGGCTTTTGTAACGCCGCTTCAACGTCATCCTTCCAGTCTTGTTGTCGTCTCTTTGGCATCCAAACCCTCTGTCTTCCAAATACTGAAGTGCCCGAAGGTACACCTCTTCTGCAGCTTTCCGTTCTTGGGCATGTGGGCTTTGCAGGTTTCTGAAAATGGGCAATTGCTGTGGATTGATGATCATTGCACCACAGGAGGCTTGCAGCAGTACCATGGCCGGCAAGCTCCATCGCATTTCTTTTTGCGCGTTGCGAGGTTTGACCCACGTTCTTTTGCGCGTATCACAAGAGAGTGGCTGAACCGCAGTTGCTGAAGCCAACAAAAATGGTTGCTGAAACGTAGTTGCTGAACGCACGGTCGTAGGAGCAGCGGCAGACCTAAGCGGCATCAACAACAACCAACTAGCAGTCACAGGAGAACAGCAGCGGCATCAACAACAACCAAAGCAAAACAAAGCCGCACCAGCAAAGCAGCAAGCAAGCAACGGGAGCAGCGGCGGATCACCTTTCAGGCAGCTTCCAACCAGCAGCCACAGGAGAACAGCAGCAGCATGAACAACAACACACGCAAACCAGCAGCAAACCAGCAGCCGCAGCAGTATCCAACCAGCGACACTCGCAGCAGCAGCAGCAGCATCAGCAGCAACTCAAGCACCAGCAAAGCAGTAGGAAAGCAACAACCGAGCAGCAGCATAGCAGCAGCAAAGTACCAGCGGCAAGAGGAGCAGCAGAAGCAGCAGCAGCAACAGCAGCAGCAAAGCACCAGCAGCAACAGCAGCAGCAGCAGCAACACCACAGCAGCGGAAAATAACATAGGAAAAGAAAAGCTTTGGTACTTCACAAAACCATCGTAGGCAGGAACAGGATAGTTTTGCGGAGGGGGTGGCTACCCCTGGTGGGCGCCTTGGGTTAGAAAAGTGTGTAATTAGCAGGGTTCACAAAGAAGGCAACGAGGTTTAAAAAGTAGGTTGGAGTCTGGAGGGTTAAAAAAGCATGATTTACGGGTTGAAACATAAGAATCCCAACGGGTTCATGTAATAGAGTCCTGGTTACGCTACACATTTTTCTGACCCGGGGTTAGAATAGCGACTATGCAGTTTAAAAAAAGATCAGGGTTAGAACAAAATGTCAGTGGGTTAAAAAATATCCAGCCCAAAGGGCATCACTACTAAAGGAGCAAGGACGCTATTAGGGGTTCCTGGCCATGCTACTAGGAACAAGGACCCTACTAGGAGCAAAGGGCATCGCTACTAGGAGCAAGGACGCTACTAGGAGCAAAGGGCATCACTACTAGGAGCAAGGACGCTACCAGGAGCAAAGGGCATCACTACTAGAAGCAAGGACGCTATTAGGGGCTCCTGGCCATACTACTAGGAACAAGGACGCTGCTAGGAGCAAAGGGCATTGCTACTAGAGCAAAGAGCATCACTACTAGGAGCAAGGACGCTATTAGGGGCTCCTGGCCATACTACTAGGAACAAGGACGCTACAAAGGGCATCGCTACTAGGAGCAAGGACGCTACTAGGAGCAAAGGGCATCGCTACTAGGAGCAAGGACGCTACTAGGGGCTCCTCGCAGAGGAAGGACGCTACTTGGGGCTCCTGGCCGCACTACTAGGAGCAAGAACGCCATTAGGGGCTCTTGGCAACGCTACTAGGAGCAAGGACGCTACCAGGAGCAAATGGCATCGCTACTAGGAACAAGGACGCTACTAGCAGCAAAAGGCATCGCTACTGGGAGCAAGGACGCTACTAGGAGCAAAGGGCATCGCTACTAGCAGCAAGGACGCTACTAGGAGCAAAGGGCATCGCTACTAGGAACAAGGACGCTACTAGGAGCAAAGGGCATCGAGACTAGGAGCAAGGACGCTACCAGGAGCAAATGGCATCGCTACTAGGAACAAGGACGCTACTAGCAGCAAAAGGCATCCGTACTTGGAGCAAGGACGCTACTAGGAGCAATACTAGGAGCAAGGACGCTACTAGGAGCAAAGGGCATCGTTGCTAGGAGCAAGGACGCTACTAGGAGCAAAGGCCATCACTACTAGGAGCAAGGATGCTACTAGGAGCAAAGGGCATCGCTACTAGGAGCAAAGGGCATCGCTACTAGGAGCAAGGACGCTACTAGGAGCAAAGGGCACCGCTACTAGGAGCAAGGACGCTATTAGGGGCTCCTGGCCATACTACTAGGAACAAGGACGCTACTAGGAACAAAGGGCATCGCTACTAGGAGCAAGGACGCTACTAGGAGCAAGGGGCATCGCTACTAGGAACAAGGACGCTACTAGGAGCAAAGGGCATCGCTACTAGGAGCAAGGACACTACTAGGAGCAAGGGGCATCGCTACTAGGAACAAGGACGCTACCAGGAGCAAATGGCATCGCTACTAGGAACAAGGACGCTACTAGCAGCAAAAGGCATCCGTACTTGGAGCAAGGACGCTACTAGGAGCAAAGGGCATCGCTACTAGGAGCAAGGACGCTACTAGGGCTCCTGGCCATACTACTAGGACAACGCTACTAGGAGGAAAGAGAATCGCTACTAGGAGCAAGGACGCTACTAGGGGATCCTGGCCATACTACTAGGAACAAAAGGCTACTAGGAGCAAAGGGCAAATAGAACTTTGCAGACACTGTGCAGTGAGCCTCGCAAATGAAAAGAGCAACGCAAATGCAACACGCAGCAAGTGTCATCATGGCACCGGTTGTTGTTGCCTGCGCCAGCACAAGCTGAAGAAGCTGTACCCGTCTGCAAGGTTCTTGAATCAACTGATTCCTGCATTGATATACATTAAGCCGCCTCTGAGAGGTCAGTTGGAACCTGGCATATCACACTTCACATGGAGAAAAGTTCTATGCAAGAACAAGTTGCTCTTCCATCATTAACTCTCTAGCATCACAAATTCCACAAATCCAAACTCCGAGGTCTAGGGTTCCAGGGCTTGCAGCAAGGGTTCCGTGATTCCAGAGTGCCGGATGCCAGGAACCAATACACGGTTCGCATGAAAATCAAATTATCACATTCCGCAAAGTACAGCAAGTAGTCTAAGTCGAGTTCAAGTTCAAGCCTTGCGAAATGCATCGTAGCTGTGGAACCAGGCCCTTAGACACTTCGAAGTCAGGCCCAACTGCAATCTTTGCAAGTCTTTCTAAACTATCTTCTTCTTTTCCTTCTACGTATAATCTAGGGACCCTTGCGGCATTTGAAACCCACGTTTCGCTTGGCTCAGGCTTCCCCGATCTTCCCTAATCTTCTCTGCGTTTGCCTGCTTGGTGCCCTGCTTGCTCGCAACTTGAGGTAGCATTGGAAGACCTTTGCTGCGTGCACTCGAACAGCTCGGATTACGGACCCAAGCCAACTCCGAGTCCCAGGCAAAGAGAGTGGCATTGCGACCAGAAAATTCAAGCTTGAAACAGAAACCAGTGGCATGGCCATGCATGGCACCTTTCCAAGGTGTTCATGAAAGGTTGTCCTTCTATTCCTTTTCATAGAAGCGTCGTCGCACGGTTTCGCTGCGCTCCCTTTTTGGCACAGTTTTGTCCCCAGCGCTCAGCAGGCACGGAAAGACTTGCTCAAACCAACATATCTTTCCGCGCTCAGCTTGATTTGCTGAACTTGAAAACCTACTGCTCGCGCCAGGCTGTACAGTGGCCGCAAAACTGCTCAAGAGTTAGGCCAGAAAACCGAGCACATACGAGTTACTTAACGAATTACTTCGCACTGCCACCAAGTGGCTGCAGTGCAGATCCTTGTAATCATTCTGGGAACTCGGCTGACTCAGCTGCACGACAGGTGCAAAAGATCTGCAACAAATGGCATCACTAAAGCACCACAGCATCACCTGCCTGAAAGCGTTTTGAAAAACAGTTCTGGTGGATCAATCCTCCTGTGCAATACAAAGAAAAGAAAAGGGTAAACATGGGTAAACCAGGTAAACAGCTGCAAACCTTCCTCGGCTGCTCAAGCGTGAGAAGGATGGCGGGTGATACCCAAATCCACCTGTTCAGCGGAAGTGTGGTAGCGAAGGTCGATGGTCAGGGATGAATGGTTTCTGCCAAGTCACACAATTGTCTTGCCACTCCATATCTGCATCATCGCCTGATCAATCAAGACAAAAACAGAGTGAAAACTGATTTAAAGGAAGCACGCAAACAATACAGGCAAGCACTGGCTAGTGCCATGACAAGGACCGAACTTGCATCTGACTCAGCCGCCAGATTCCAAGCAAAGTTCCTGGGTTCCAATCTACCAACCATGCAGCCCGTGCATACTCCTCTCAGATGTCTACGTTCTCTTCAAATCGTGGTTGCCAGAGTCAATCGGGGACCTGCCAGAGACAGCAAAACTCCGTGTATCGATGATCGTTACTAGGAGCAAAGGGCATCGCTACTAGGAGCAAGGATGCTACTAGGGGCTCCTGGTCCTACTACTAGGAACAAGGACGGAAGAAGAAACGGAACGGAACGACAGCAACACAGGGACGGAGTACACGACGAGATTTTCTTCAAAGTCCTGCACAGCAAAGCATCCGCAGGCAGTCCACAGGTCTGCTATCTCCAAACAAAGACTGGCTGTCCTTCTCAGCACCTCAAGAAGTTCAAGAAACACATGAAGAGCATGGAGAGATACAGCCCTTGAGCTTGCAACTATTGTGTCAGCACAACTCATTGAAACTGTCACATCTCAGAAGGCAAACTTTGGGATCTTACACAGCATCCAGGGATGCTCGCAAGCTGCAGCTGCAGTGAGCCTGCCGCTCCATTGGCCAAACATGCCCACATTCCCCCTTCTCCTTTGAACCAACAAATGACTTATAATTGACCTGCATCAAAAGCTTGGAGGCGACTAACACATATTTGGCCTCCAATCTTAGTGGGTTCATTTATGCAGTCCCTCTTTGCAGGCCATAGAGAAAAACATCGCTGTGTAGTATAGCTTCTCTCAGGTAGTGCAGCAGTGTCGTGCTGCGAAAGCCTACTTTCTCTGCATCGTAAGAGCAAGTAAGACTGATTGCAAAAATTGAACTGCGAAGAAGGCTTAGATTGAAAAAGGAGCGAAACATAGTCAAAATATGGCAATTTCAATTACACAGACAAATTTTCCGTTGTTTTTACGTTTGATGCATGAGATGAGACTGTATGAGTGACCCTCCTGCCAAGTGCCTGTGGATTGGGTCAACGCAAAGCAACCCGCGCACCAGGCTCCGTGCAGCTTTAGGTGCCTAGACGAACACATCAGCCCAAAAGGCAAAGCGCCTAGAAACATCTAAAAACCAAACACGTGATTGTTGGCTTGAGCAGCTTCATCGTTTCAGACGGTTGAACCTGAAGCCATCGAGCTCCGCGAAAAAGACACTCGCCCATCAGCACCTCAGGCGACTCGCTACTAGGCTGATTCATCAGTCAAGTAGATTCGAGTAGTCAGCGACAAGCAAACAACCCGAGCTGAGACAACCAGATCCGATGGAGATGGTTTTGAGAATAGGAAGAAACTCCAGAGAAGATTGGAGCATGGACTGAAACAGTCCAAAACATGGGCAGCACCAGATTCTGCAGAATGGAAAAATGCAATTTCAGTCTTCAACCCAAAGTGCAATGCACTCACAATCCCCTTGGTTGCAGCATGCTGATGTGTTCACATGCTGACGGCACCTAAAGCTGTCTCAGCGTTGTCTAAGTTGTCTGCCGGGTCTTGATGCATAGACCGTAGCATAGTCACATCAGAAGTCTGCACAGTCATATGGTCACTCGGAGACACTGCGTGAAGTGTGTGCAGGAACGGCCTGGAAAGGCAAATTCCCTGAGACCAAGAGAAAAATCACAATGCCGCAACCTTGGTGTCAGAAACCTTCACAGTCTTGCGAGAGAACGTGGACCAAGAAGTGCACTCCAGAGATCACATGACCGGCTGTAGAAGCTCTTGAATACCTCGATCACAATGTGCACATCTGTGGCACAGCGGCGCTTTCACTCTGAATCCCTATGCCCAGCCTCTGGTGCTGCAAAGAGTAGCGTTCCAGTAACGCTGTGTGCCTGCAACGTGCTTCTGAAGAGGTGCAACATGTTGGGCAAAGGGGGGTGCTGCCCCACTCCTCAATCGCAACTGTCTATGCTGAATCAGCGTCGGACACTGATGCAACACCCATTCTCCGGATGCTAAACTCTTCGATGAAAACCATGCTTTGAAACACGATGGTGATGATGATGATGCTGCTGCTGCTGCTGATGATGATGATGATGATCAGGAGGATGTTGGGAACTCAAGAATTGTGGTGTGAACCAGCTTGTGAAAGCACTGGTGGTCTATGTACTGCCAATAAAGTCTCGGCTCGGGCCTGACAGTGGTAGACTTTTGTCAGCTGAAAACGAGCAGATGTCGTCTCCCGGGGTGTCGCCTATGTGGCATTTTCTGGGTCCGCATGATCAAATGATTTTAGTTCTTGCGAGATCTTCGGATTTGCGCCGGATCAATGATCTGACGGGGCAGGCTTTTGCGGTGGACATGGTGGCTGATGTGGGTTCACAGTGCATCGTTTACCAATGGCAGGTTCTCAAGGTCACCGGCGCTGGTGTCATGCACTTGAGTGAGACTAGAGATTCAATGACTCGGTTTTTGCATAGTAGTAGTTTCAAAGATCTCAGGGCCTTCGCTGAGCTTTGTGCGGGCCTTGGCGTTGGTGCCACTGCTGCTGGCTTTTGGTCGGTTTGCGCGGTGGATTTCAATGAACTGGTTGCCACCTCATTGACCAGAAATGGTCACCACATGTCACCACTGTGCGATCAACAATGACTTGGCAGATCAGGCAACCTGCGTTAAGATTTTCGATCGGACGGATGGCCTGCGTTGTGGCCTCTTAGCAGGCTTTCCTTGTCAGCCGTGGTGTTCCATCGGCTATGGCCGAGCTTTTGATGATCAGAGGGCACTCACGTTCCTTCACACTCTTGATGGCCCGTGGCTTTTTCAAAGCGAATGGCTTCTCTTTGAATGTACTTGTGGAGCTGGGCAAAATGCCAAGGTAGTGAAGGACATCTTAGATCAGTACTGCGCTGCTCGATCATTTCACTGGCGTTCAATCACACTACGCCTTGAGAACGCTTGCCCTTGTAAGAGGAAGCGCTGGTGGGCCCTTCTCTTGCCCCGTCATCTTGTTCTTCCCAACCTGACTGATTTGCCAATCCTTGAGGACCAAAGGAAAATCAATGACTTCCTTCAGTGTTGGCCCAAGTGGCCATGGCATGAAGAAGAACAGTTGGACGTTGAACTTCAGGCCTTCGAGCAGTATGGCTCTGATGCCAACTTCCTTCGCATGGGTGGATCAAGTCCGACGCTTCTGCGCTCGATGGGATATCAGGTCCTGGATTGCCCATGCAAATGTCGTGGCCCTCTGTCATCGACACTGCTGGCTGCACAAGGACTTCACGGGACAGCTTGGCCTCCCCATCCACTCGGGCATCCTCATCCACGTGAGGCATCTTGGCTTGTTGCGCTCCCTGGCACCTTGGTGCTCCATCATGATCATAACTGGTAAACCACCTCTTGACTTCACCAATGACGATTGGTGGGAGCAGTTGTGGAGGTGTTTGGACTTTGCTAGATGGTAGAGTTCATGTCTACCTTCGACTCTGACTAGTGCTGATCTTCAATTGCAAACTCATTGGAACTCGGTAGCTGATGCTGCTGCCAAACTTGCTTGCCGAACTGATGGATCGCATGAACTGAGGGAGGTTTATGAGCGTCTTGGCAGAGCACTCTTTAGACAGTTCTGTTTGTGAATCTGAGATGGATGAAACGTCTTTTTGGCCAGGCACTACAAAATCCTGGTCCATTTGAAGATGTCCCCATCAATTTTGAACCCCTCGTTGTTCAGCCCGAGAGGATTCGTGCTTTTGGCCCGGAGATCGCCAAACATTCAATGAGTCGCGCGATTAGATGGGAATGCTTCACATCTGGTTCCGGTTTCCTATTTGGAGTTGTTCGTTGCGTTTACTGTTGACGTTGGTGTTGTTCTTCCTGTTTTCATTTCGGAACGTGATGGGAAACAATGGCAAAGACCAAATGATCGCAGGGCTGGTGGGTTCCTCCGCCGTTCGTTGGTGTCGCAAGTTGCTGCCTTTAGGTGTCTTTTTGATGCTGTTTTTGGTTGTTTGAGGATCCACTTTGATCTGGCTGAGGTGTCTCGACCGCAGGCTAACTTAATTAAAAGTTTGCCAGGTGTGATCTGTCCGTGGACGCCAGAAGACTTTTTTCAGGCATCGTCCACTGCGCACAGCGCAGGACTTTGCAAGGCACTGGCCTTGACGCTTGGAGCGGACAAGAAGCTACTAGAAACAAGTGCCACGCTAGTAGTAACAGGTGCCTTACTAGTAGTAACAAGTGCCACGCTAGTAGTAACAGGTGCCTTACTAGTAGTA